ACCCCGAGCAGTATGGGAAGGGATTTTACAATGGTGCGCGATTTATGGTGTGCCCGACGAAATTGTGTCAGACTGTGGCCGAGAATTTGACAATGCCTTTATTCGAAATGAATGTAAAACGCTGGACATCACTTGGCGACTAAACACCCCCCATCACATCAAAGGGAGAGGTGCGGTGGAAAGATTACACAACACTTTAGGTGAACACCTTAGATTATTTAAACTAGGAAGAAATTTGGATCCATTTGACGCTATGCCGCGAGCAGTGATTGCCTACAACAATACAATACATGCAGCGACGGGTTTATCTCCAGTAGAAATCGTTTTTGGTCAAAGGCGACGCGATAGAGGAGATCTCATCACAACTAATAATAATAAATTATGGGAGGCACTATATCAAGCTCGAGTAGAACGACAGACGTCGTGGAAAAAAATTAGAGAAAAACTAATTCGCGAAAAACAGACTCGCGTGGACCGCGCGAATAATCGCTCCGTAGTTTATAGCAAGGGTCCGCTAACATTAGGAACAACTGTGTACAGGCGGCTGAGAACAGCGAGAAATAAAACTGCCGCACGCTACGAGGGCCCCTATAAAATTATAACCATCAGGGAGAATAATTTGTTTACCATTCGGGACGTAAAATACCCGTTCAGATCACGTACGGTACATCTCGAAGAACTTCGTGTACCCCGAGAAGTATCAGGTCTCGAGTCTGGCTGCGGCGCTCAACAAGAAACTCCACGTCGTTAAAAATCAGTAATTAGTTTTAATGTGTTTTGTACAATTTAGATAATTTTTTTTTGTTTTATATAATATTTTTTTTGCTTGTATAAATATGTGTAAACAGTTCTGTTATTCTTCAAGTTTCAGATAAATGCAAGTATTTTCTGTTATCATTTAAATTTAAAATATAGACCAGTTTTTCTTTTGTTTAAAGTATTAGAGTTCCTCCTTAAGAAGGAACTGGAGGGAGGAAGTTAGCATAATATAAAATATGTTTTAGTTTTAAGATATATTAACATGTGATCGATTATTGATATTGTTTGTTTTTGTTTGATAAGGTTAACCTGCAATAAAAAAAGTTATAAAATCTCATTGCTAATATTGATTCAATCTTTCTCATACTAATAATCATAACTTAGGTACGATTTTTAATTTTTAAGAGCCAATTTGTTTCATTTACACTTAAACATGACTCTTGTCCTCCACTGTCCACTGTCCTTGTCCACGACTGACATGGACATACCACATAAAACAAAAAAGAAAAGAACTAAATCAGCGATACGGACTTCTTTCTAGGCTACTTGACAGACGTTCTAAATTATCTGTGACTAATAAATTAACTATTTACAAAGTCCTTATTAAACCACTTTGGACATATGGGATCGAACTATGGAGAACAGCAAAGAAATGAAATATAAAAATCATCCAGTCATTCCAGTCAAAAATCCTTCGGAAAATTGTAGACGCATCCTTTTACGTTTCAAACCTTACGTTACACACTGACCTTAACATTCCTTTCATCACGGAAACTGCCAATGACCGCTTTAATAATTTTCATGACAGACTGACTCTAAATTGCAATCCACTTACTCAAGCTCTATCTACTGCCACAAATCCATATAATCCGCCCAGAAGACTGCTGAGACGCTGGCCAAGAGACTTATTGCATTGAGCTACTTGCTGCATTATCTTTCTTTTTTTCTGTGTTATTATGTGTTATTTTACTTCTTTTTTTTCGCCTTTTTGTTTTGTTATTACTATTATTTTTTTCTTATGCTATCATTTCTTCTCCTTGATATCATATTTGCTGAATACCGAGGTAGATGATGAGCCAAGAATATGAATAACTAATAAATAAAAAAAATTTTTAAGATATTTTAATCCATATGCAAAAGCAGTTCAATCAGTAGATTAAAGCCGAGTTTACTCTAGCGTTACACATCGGAATTTTTTTTTTTTACGGTTCAATTTAATTTACTCTGCACAAAAAAGTGTAAAATGCGCCTAAAGAAGTTTTCATAAGCTATTTTTACATTCGACTCTTTATCAACTTTGACCCCTCTTGATCGATTAGGCCCCACGAAACGATAACCCCGCATGATTAAGGAGCCGAGACAAAGAGGCGTCGCCATTAGCGGGTTGCCCAAGGGGTTGGGACACTCCTCGGGCGGTGAGGCAATTCATGCAAAGGGAGCCGTGCGAACGAGGCGGGGTGGTGTCAGATGCACAATGCCCTCGTCATCCCGCGGTCCGCTTACGAAACAAAGCTCCTCAAAGCCGTGAAAGCGGAACTTCCGCAAGCAGGATGTGCTCCTCGCTGACCGCCCGGGTCCAACTCTTACGTAAATGGATCAGGAACTGAGGGAGGCGAGGGTTTAGTCGAAAGGTCAAGTCTCACACAAATCAGGTTATTTGAAATCTTGCATATAAAAGGTATAGAGTTTCCAGTGAACTAAGTAAATTAAACTGTGGATTGATATTCGACTGTAGTGAATAACTGAAGAGAAGACTGGTTGGCGTGTTCAGTAAAAAAAAAAGTTTTATTTTTGCCGACGTATCTGTCCAAAGTTCAGATCTTCATCAGGACTGGTATAGCGAAAGGTTACCGTAAGACCATTTGGTACTTGTTCACTAGCAGGCCGGGACTGACTGCTATCTGCCAATATTTATAACCTGAACACTGATAATTCCGATAAGCAGTGATAAGCCTTATCGTAATTCCTATCTTCGTATTATTGTATTATATTCGTATTATTGAAAGTCTAAACTGAAACAAAAACAAATGCAATAACAAAAACAAACCTTTTATTTTACGACACATCTATTAATGAAATAATAATAAAAAAACACTTAAAGAACATATGTACATATATAAAGAAAAAATATCAACACTATAAACGACATATGTATACTTTATTTTCACTTCGTCTTATTTAATTTGGGAGGCAAAATAGTTTTACGCTATTTAAAATAGCGAGGAACTCTTCTTTGTCAACAAAAATTCGCATAAATATGAAATTTATTGAAGTTTCATGTCATAAGTGCTACGACAGCATGAATTATACGACAGCTCCTGTTTCCTGGTTAACTTCATTTAATGACCTCGTTGTTCACACAATTTCACGTCTGCAAGTATCCCAACGTATTGAAAATATTCAATATTCTGTTCTACTGGAGACGGTAAATCGCAGAATGTAACAAGATTCATAATTTGACGAAAATAAACTAATTTTTTAAAGGGAATCTTTCGTTAGACTAGCTCTGAATTTTGGGCTGAAACGTGTGAAAAAAAATTTATTGTTACTTTTTTTTTTTAATTAACACCCCAGAAAATCTTCTCTTCAATAAGTAAATTAAAAGTGAACGAATTTCAATGAGAATCAGAGCAGTGTCAAAGTGCCTATAAGTTCAATGCAACCAGGGATGCCCATCCTCCCCCATAACGGTCAATAGTACATCACACCTATCCCAAGATATTTGTTTACCTCTGAAGCACAGTGCAAGCGAAAGTAAATTAGAAAAGTTGTTGATCATAAACAATTACATTTGCTGCGATATGTTCCATGTTTTCCATTTCTTCTCTGGTTCGAAAGATTCCCTTTAAAAAAAAAAAAAAAAAACACAAAAATTTAGTTAGAGATGGACTCTCCAAAAATTCAAAGTCAAAACGTGCCCCCTTCAAACATTTTTAGGGCGCAATTTTCGGCATGAAACCTCCTTCTAGACACCGCGGATTGCAAGAAGCCAAGTACATTTTTGATGAAGCTGAGCTTTCAAGAACATTTTTGTGACATTTTATGGTTTATGAACCTTATTCATTGAAAAAACACACACACACACTAAAATGTACAGATCCCTTTAAATATCAAACATAGTTACAACAACCATCGAATTTTCTGATTTTACAAAAAGGAAATTCATACTTAGCATGTATATTGTACTATTTACCATGGTACCATCAATACTGATGGACTACAACTTCGATACATACCGACCTGTAATCGAATTGGCAATTGAAACTTGAGATGGAAAAGGGCTGAAAAAATAAATAAAAACAGTAATTATTGTAGCCCTATTTTAGGTAGTTGAGCAAGACAAATTGTCCCGTTATTATTTTTGTAAATCATAGATCATTAGGACTTGATACCTAACGTGGTCAGCTGTAGATGCACTTTTACCAGCCAATAAGAGGAGAGAGAGAGAGAGAGAGAATGCATCGGTGAAAGGATCACGATTTTCGTTGATTGAAAACTGCAGATCACCGGAGCTTGCTGAAAAAAACAACAACATAGCAGCAATAGAACCATGACTCATGGCTGCGTATTGCTTCAGGTTTTTTTTATTTTCATTTCAGGTAACGCAATGCTCGATGATACGAAACATGTAACATATACCATGACATGGAGAATTGTACTTCTCTTAGATAAACACTGGCAATAAAACAGAAATTGTTATTCCGAAACTCAGATATAATTTAAAAAATAACATAAATAAATTTTTCGATGCGATCTCCCTAGCACAACTTTTAAATTATAAATCTGAGCTATAGTGATACCTTCCCAACATACGAATAGCTTCATAATGAAAGGAACCTAATTATGTTCCGATGACTTGATAATCATTTAGACTGTTTCAAGTCGATATTGATATTTTATTATATATGTTTATAGTTCTTAAAAACTGCATACGACTTTTATCGGATTTCTCTCTCAACATGTGAAGTCAAGCAGTGCGAGGGTGGTCTGAAAAGTTTCCGACAAAACAAAAATAGAAGACATTTTTTTCTAACATTTTTTTTAATTTTTCAACATAGTCCCTTCTAACTCTGCACATTTCTCCCAGCGATGCTCCCATCTCTGTGACCCGTCCAAAAAGTACTCGACGTTTTTCTCTGCAAAATAATTGTTCACGAAGATGATTACCTCTTCATTTGACGAAAATCTCTGTCCTCCGAGCGCCATTTTTAGATAAGGGAGCAAAATGAAGTTGCTTGGGGCTAGATCTGGTGAGTGAGGCGGATGGTGAAGCAGTTCAAACCGTAAATCGTGGATTTTCGCCATGGCACCCGCTGAGGTGCGGTGCGTTGTCTTGGTGAGACAGGATTTTCTTTATCTGCAAATGTGGCCGTCTTTCCGCAAATTCTGCCTTCAGCTTGCCAAATAATGATGCGTGCTATGCTCCTGTACTGGTTTTTTATTTTTGAAGATAGTCGATTAAATATTTTCATGACTATTCCAAAAAACAGTCGTCATCACTTTCCCAGCCGAAAAAACAGTTTTTGCTTTTTTTGGAGCTAGTTCCGTCTTTGAAGTCCACTGTTTGGACTGTATTTTTGATTCAGGTGTATAATGGTGTATCCAAGTTTCATCTTCGGATTCATTGCGTCTAAACTGCATCAACAGAGTATTGGAAATGTTTATTCGAACACATTTTTGGTCTAACGTGAACATACACGGCACCCAACGTGCGCACAGCTTTCCCATGTCTAAATGTTGATTTAATATGTCACAAACACGTTCTTTTGACATGTTCACAACCTCTGCTTTCTCTTTCACTTTAATTCGGCGGTCGTCTAGCACCATTCGGTGAACTTTGGCGATGTTTTCGTCGGTAGTTGCACTTTTTGGACCTCCTGAACGCTCATTGTTTCATAATTTATCATAATACCAACTACCTAGATTTTTTTTGATGGGGGGGCATCACCCCCCTCCCCAAATCAGAATGGAACGCCTATGGTAACTACTCCTTAGAATAACACTCAAATATATTTTGATAATATCCAATGTAATTTTACATTTTTCAACATGAGGTAACAACCGACCGAAATGAATTAATTGTTTTATTTTTAAGTGAAATGAGTCGGAAACACGAGAGATTGTGCAAACAAAATTTCCCTAAGAAATCTATCGAGTCCTTTTCATTACGAAAGCATTCATTTATAACAACTAATGGCCATTATTATTGTCGTTGAGATAATTAAAAAATTCAGGAAGAGTGGGTGCGTGGTTTATCGAAAGACCGTACACTTCCTCAACTTGAGGTCAGACCTTTTCAGACCGACAAGGTTAAGACACGTTTCCAACAGGAAGACCAATAATACAACCGTAGATTAGTAACTATCAGAAAAGGTATAATAAAAACCTCTTAGAAGTAAATGGCAAGATTGGGTAACACAAAATTGTGGAGTTTTATATGAATATACTTATATCAATACTTATGAATTACTGTTAATACCTGAAATAATGTGTTCAATTTTATCTTTAATCATACATAAATCTTTGTTTTCAATTCTTTTTCTGATATTTCGAGGGTAAAACTTTATACCATGGAACATTTAAATTATAGATTTTTTTAAAACATTTTATTTTTAAAATAAATAAAAATGAAGAAAATTTCATTTTTTCCACTACATTAGCCTTGCAATGGGTGCATATTATACGCCTACCATCATAACGATATAACGCGTATTGAAATTCATAGTTAGATTAATGAACACAACACATGTACATTTTAATAGTTTAAATTGTAAGAAAACAAAATAAATAAATAGTAAAAAAGAAAAGTTAATTAATATAGTAAACAAATAACTAAAGTTGAATAAAAATACTAAGAAATTATAGATTAAGTAATCATATAGGTAGAATGTTGACAGTAAACACGTAGTATAATAGAATAAACTATCAACTAAAGATATTGGGAAAAAATATAAATTTTGAATATTTAGAATGAAATAGAAAATAATTTTATTCCGGGGCAAAGTCCCTTTAGAATAACAAAATTATAATATTACATTTGGCCTTAATAAAAACAAACATAAAAAGTAAAAATAAAGAGAAATATGTAAAGAAAATATTAGTTACACATACTTAACACATACAAAATAAAAAAAAAATCTAAGTACAAAACACTTGAAACCATGCCAAGACACTTAAAACTATGTACAGTGGTAAAACATAAATATACACTTGTAGAAAAAAAACAACATTACATTCTTCTTAGAAATAAACTATGTGTTTCTGTAAAAAAAAAAAGAAGAAAAAAGAAAGTCGAATCTTATACTAAGAGTTGTCTGAGTACTTAAGTGATGAATTATACGCAAATACATCATTATGTAAATTATTATGAATAATATGTAATTTTACCTAAAAGGTTAGCGGGGAGTGAGGGGGAGAGCACCTGACTGTTTTCGGGACAGAAATTGGAACAGGAGGGTTTTAAATGTAGATAGGAACGAAGAATGCCGAATTTTGAGAAGGAGGGAATTCCAGAACTTAACAGAGCGCGCAATAAAGAAGTTTTGGAATGAGGTAGATCTGTGCGAAGGAGTGTAAAGGTCGGAAGGTCGAGATCTTGTGGAAAGGGAATGGAGTGAGGACTTGAACTGTAGAAGATTGTAAGAGGTGAGAAGGACGATGATTGTCGATGATTTGATAGAGGAACGTGCCTAGGAAATATTGTCTTCGAATGGATGGGAAGAGCCACTTTAACTCAGTGTAGTGGTGAGCGAAATGGCTCACGTAGTATCAAATAAAGCAATGCATTTTGCCAAAAAATAAACCTAACATATGATAATTGTGCAGTACCTTTTTAAATAAAATTTATCAGCCGATTCATTCAAGATAAGTTATATCGGTAATCTGAGCAATCAGTGATTAAATAGTTGCATAAAATTTTTTTGATTTCCGATACTATTGATGAGCTCGGCGTTGATTTTAGGAAATGAAGCTTTCTAATTATATGTTCGTTTCTTTTCAGAGTTTTTGCTCTATTTCAAAAAAACTCACTTAATTTATAAGTTTAGAGTTTTCTAAGGTCAAAAAGGAGTTATAAAAAAAGTTGATCTGCCATCCTAGTGCCCTCCTCTACGCTTGAACATCTCTTTCTTGTTCTTCTAACTTATTTACTTGTTTAAGGCACTGGCTTGCCATTCAGGCTCTGCGGATGTTTCCAGATATTCTTCAATCGTATTCTTATTACTCCGGAAGAAAGTGGAAAAAAGCGTCAGGAGTATTGAATAGTCAGTCATGAATCATGAACTCTTATTATTATAAATTTAATTGGTTCATGAAAATTATTCTTGTTCATCCCCAGCGGGAGTACGACCTGGACAGAAAGTTAGCAGTAAATGATGTAAGCGAGTTCCTGTGTGTTCATGTCCCGTGGCATGAGCGAGGCACGCGACTGCTTTGCTGCTTGCCAAGTTGCGGAGAACGAGGCCATGCAATTATCTGTGTATTTCCTTTCTACTTCTTTTTGCTATTTGGACTAAATTCCAATCTTAAACTCTGTTCCGTTTTTTTCCCCTTTGTTCCTTGTTGGTTTACTTCATTCCACTTTTAAATAATTGTTGCAATTTGTTACAATCAATTTTTTTTTTTGGATCCGTACGGTTTTACTGGCAAGTTGGTCAGATATTTACTGCAGTCTTACAAAGTTTTGGAATATGTTGCAATGCTGGCTCCTAGATTTGCTTCGATATGAGATATTTGTCCTACTTGAAAGTCTTCAATACTGCACATCAAGTATTAAATGATAACTTTTAATATTGAATGACAGAGACATGACATTTCATTTATTAATCATTCATATCTGCCCTGCTATTGAATTAGTTTAGGACTATGGAAATACCTTTCAGTAAAATGTTCTAGTCTGCAGGGGTATTCATCCTCCCCAAGGTTACTGGCGCAAGAACCATCCCTCCCCTCCATACAAATTGTATTTCTCTCCTCTTCTTAAAAACAGTGCAAGCGATGATTAGAATTACACTTTCAGTAATCTGTTTCATGTTTTCCTCCTTGTTCTTTGTTTTGAAAATGTTCACTCTGGCTCCGAAGAAATGTGGCTCCCTCAAAATTCTAAACCCAATCGAAATGTGCCCCCCTCCAAAATTTTGATGGCGCAAGTTGCGTCATGAAACTCCCTTCTGAGCACCCCTGCTTGCCTGAATTTTCAGCACATAAATATCCGGATACATTTTTTTTTGCGTGAGACTATGGCCCAATAGCGTCAGTTGGTTTGATCATTAGAAATCTGATCAATAAAAAAAGATATATTTTAGGAATGCATCACCATGCAATTCTCATTTTTTGCTGTTTTTGTTCTGTGCGAGATTTTTATCCTGGAAGTAGAATATCGATGCTTGATCAATGCTTTCGTAAATAGCAAAAAATACAACCATTTTCCTGTGTTGATAATCTAATTAGTTTCACTTTTCTGGATAAGAATTGACATATTCGAAATTTTGTGAATTGGAAGATGAACTTTGTACCGCTATTATCAATGGAGTTTGAAGTTTGAAGCTTCTAAGAAGTCTAGCTAGTTATTCGTTATCTTATTTGGTAGAAGGGTCTAACTATTGTCACATAAAACATCAGAAGATTTTATTTTCATTAGTTTTCAAACTTGAAGCAGTTGTCACCCCCATGAAAGATTACATTTTTTCTTAAGTTCTGGTCAAACGGTGGCTGGTTCTGAACTCCAGAGTATTAATTTTAAGTATATATTATTATTATTATATTATACACTTAGAATGGATTTAATCATATTTTATCATAATTGCATGTTTCGAGGATTTCAATATTCGGGAGTTGTAAATGCTATAAATCGCCCATTTCTGTGGTTAATTTCAAAGTAGATGGGAGTTTCAACAGAAAATTAAAAATGACATAGATTTAAATGGATATGTAAGCAACTTCCAAAAATTAGTAGCGAGCCTCTGTATCGATAAACTTGCTGAAACCTCAGTGGGAAGATAACATCAAAGCAGAAATCAATAAATGGCTTCACAGACAGTTTCAGCATTGAACTTTTGGGTACACGGTCTTATTCTAGTTAGTATGCACAGAAACGGATCGACCGTATACAATGGAACAGTAACTCATTGACACCGCTTTATATGTGTTGTATAAATGTTATAGAACGTTAGGAACTGTTATGCAATATTCCGTTATAAATAATTCATATACGGTATTGAGAGAAAGTGTTGTTTACACAGGTCGGGCATGTGCGAGGACGGTATAAAATCTATTATCACTTGTCCCTGATATCATCGATTGTTTTCTCTTCAATTATTCATTGCTTGTCATACAAAAAAGAGATCGATTTTAATCAATCTTTAGTTTCGTTGGCTATTATAAATCTGAGATTTCTACTTTTATTTGAATGAATAGGCACTTTTATTGTGGAATGTAAATTAGATTGAGCCGTCAGATTTCCGAAATGTAATGCTCGGGTAAAATCGGCTGGAGTCGACTAATTGAAGTGTTTTTGTATATGGATTAAAATGTATCAGAAACTTTTTTTTATTTATTTATTTATTTTTTTTTGTATATCTGTTGTTGAGCCATTAAATACATTTAAACGAATAAGCCCAACAGTTGGACAGGTTCAACAATTAGTTCTAAAAAGTTATAATTTCTGTCTTTCTCGACTCTCATTTTTGTACTATAAAATTTGAAATCCAATCGGGTATCTGAATGGAAAAAATCATGTACATTTGTGCTAAAATAAATAAAAAATGTATATAAGATTGTACTTATAAAATAATAAAAAAAGGTTCATATTCAGCTAAAAACATGAAGTA